AAAGGCCTGGTGTCCCCGTCTGGAGTTACCACTTTTGCCATTGTGCCCTCATAGAGACTGCCGATGGCGTGGACGATCTGCTCTGGGATGCCGTAGGCGTTCAAGATCCTCAACATCTTGCCCCTGTGGATGGTATCGAACGCCTTTTTAAAATCTATGAAGGTGATTATGGCAGGTAGGTTGTGACTCTTTATGCCCTCAATCAGTCTTCGTAGTGCAAGAACATGACCAACTGTCGACCTTCCTTCCCTGAACCCGTTTTGGTTACATCTCAGAAGACCGTCCACTGCTGGTCTTATTCGGTTGAGCAGCATCTTGTTGAAGATCTTGGCCACCAGTGAGCTCAGGCTGATGCCCCTGTAGTTACTCCCAAGTCTAAGGTCTCCAGATTTGGGTATTGGGACGATGTTTAGCAGGGACCACGTGCTCTGGTTTTCTCCTCTGGTCAATACTCTGTTACAGAAATCCAGGATGATTCTGTCCAACCCTCCGCATCTCTTCAGAACTTCTGGGGGTATTCCATCCTCTCCAGAAGCCTTTCCTTCAACCAGAGATTTCTTAGCCTTCTCGTATTCCCCCTGCTCGAACGGACCAACTTTGATGTCAAGCTCCTCGAACACAGTAGGGATTTCCTCGTCCTCGTCCGTGATGTTAGGGGGACTTCCAAGAAGAGTTTTGAAGTGGTTGTACCAGTTCTCAATCCTTTCCTCCTGTGTATTTCCTTCTAGTTGACCCTTCCTAGTTGCCTTTCTGTCGGTGATATCATTAATCAATTTCCAGCTCTGTCCATGTTTGCAGTTCAGATGAGCTTTCTCCACCTCTCTGATCTTGTTGCTAAGATCTTCTTCCTCCACTGTAATGTAGGCTTCTTTTAGCTTCTTCTTGGTCTGTCTGTACTCTTGTCTGTTTGCTTCGGATGTGTTCTCTTTGTACCTCCCATACACTTCATTCAGCTCGTGTCTGACCTTTGCCACCCTGGGGTCTTCTGAGTGTCTTGCCCTCCTTCCCCTCTTTCTGAGTGGGACCACTTTCTCTGCTGCCTCCTCGGTAGCTTTGATGAACCTCTCGTACCTTTCCGTAGCAGATTCATCGAGATCCTTCAATGGTTGAAACCTATTGTGCACCTCGATCGTGTACTGCTCCTGTAGGTCACTCCTGGTCTTGAACAAGTTCCAATCGTACGGCCTTTTCCTTGGCTCTGCTTTCTTCTTCCTCAGGCTCAGTCTCACCCTGGCAGAGACAATTCTATGGTCTGAGCCGACACTTGCAAAAGAACTGTATGCCTCCACATTCAGCATGCTGTTACGCCATTTCCTACGTATAAGCACGTAGTCTAACTGGTACTTCATGCCTCCTGGGCTGATGAAGGTCCAAAGCTTTCCTGCCTTCTTACAAAAGTCGGTGCTAGAGACGACTAGGTCCTTCTCATTAGCCAGATCCAACAACAGTCTCCCGTTTCTATTGGTTTCCTTATGGAATGTGGTCACCTATTCTTGCATTGAAGTCCCCTATTACCAGTAATAGGTTGTGGGCTGGAATGGCTTCAATGGCTCTTGCCAGGTCCTCATAGTGAGCCTTCACTGTATCCTCATCTGCAGTGTTGGTTGGGCAGTAAGTGACAATGATACTTGCTACTGGGTTCCCCTGGAAGCTTGCTGTTAGTATCCGCTCTGTGTTTTATGTAACCTTGGCCAGTGAGCT